GGTGAATAATAAAATCAGTCACATGATGTCGATTGGGTAGGATCACCGGATGCCTGAAATGAGATGAGTAGTTTGCGTATCTAAGTCGCCCACCTGCACAAAACAAGTCGTTTATCGTAACTGGAAAAAGCTTCCCCAAAGAATGCACCATGTCTCCGTTTCGTGCTCCTTGAAGTTTTGCCTGAAATTCTGATTCACCGAACGTTTCATTTTGCACCATNTCAAGCTGCGTCGATTTCTTCTACCGTGAGATTTCCTACTCTCAGGGTACTTTCGTTTCTCGACAAATACATAATTCTAATGTAAAAGATGAAACGAATAATCCATGCAACTGAGTTTAAAAGTTTTGACCATTGAGAGTAACGATGCAGAAGCTGTTCTAGTTTCATCGAAAAAACAACTGTGTTCACACGTACTACAATGTTATTCATCTCTACGCCATCCGGTGGGTACGATAATTGAGATAATGCCTGTGGAACATAGCTCTGTAAGAACATCGGCCCCTCTAACCATGTCTCTAGTTCTCCTCTTGTTGATATACCTCTCGAAGTAAGGTCAACGATATTTTGTTCGGACCAGACGTGACACCATTGGGACACCGTGGAGTACTGATGGATGATTGCTAACCGATTGGCAACGAATGTACTAAAACGTGTTGAAGTATTTTCTATATAATATTTGACAATCATTGAATCCATCAGTACCATACCTCGCTGAACATCTCCGATAGAGCCCTTTTTATCAACTATCCTATCTTGATTCCGAGGACTGCCGCAGACAGTTCCAGTCGCGGTATGGTTATGGGTTTGATAGACGCCACTCGAGACTTACTAAACAGCAAAACGCTGTAAGCCGGTTTTCTTGCTGGAACGCACCACGCGTAGGCGATGGCCCCATAACCTGTCTCGAATGCATCACAGAAAATATGCAATTCTGTTCTCCCTTCTTCTCCCCAATCTTCGTTATCAAGATTTCTTGGGATATTAATCACTTCTAGACGCCGAACAAAGCATACCTAGCTTTCTCATATACGGGCATCTACAGCATCGAGAGGTTGGTCTCAACCCATTTTGTATTTGCACAAGGTCTGCAGCAACTGCTTTGCTGGGAGGCATAGAGAAGCTACAAGACCTAGCGGGTCAAACCAGGAACTGTCGTTGGATATTATACCTCTTCTTGTCACCGGCTTATCTAGTAGCCAAAACTGGAACTTAAAACATCTCTTGTTGTGTCCCACTGCACGCCCATAGCTCTCTGGCAACTGGAATCAAATTGAGGCAGTTGAACCAGGTTGGTACTTATCTTGTCTTCCGAAAGGGATTCTGCAAGTTGGGGTGAGTTAGATGACCACCTTCTCAGTTTAAAACCACTTCTTCCCAATAGTTCGATTATTTACTTCGCAAAACGTAAGGTTTCATCACATGTCGTAAACGATGCAAGACAGTCATCAACGTTGAAGTTTTCTTCTTCGGCTTTTAGCGTCGCATAACCAATACCGAATTCTCTTTTAGCCCTGTTCAAGGCAAAATTAGCACAAAACGGTGAAGAAGTTGCACCAAACCGGTGAGCTATCATTTGCTATTCCTCGGGATCCTTGAGTGGGTCACCCTGTGGCCACCAGAAAAATCTCAAAGCGCCTCTATCATGTTTTGGCACCTTCACTTGCTTGAACGTCTCTTCTATGTCAGCTGTACCAGCTACACGTTCTTTACGGAATCGCAAAAGCATACCCACTAAATTCGCTGTGGTGTCTGGACCTTGATAGAGGATGTCATTCAACGATTTCACCTTGTGTTGTGCCGCACAATCCAGAAATATACGCAGCTTTACCGGCTTTTTTGGGCTTAGTACTGCATAATGAGGCAGGTACCAACGTGGATAAAAGTCGCATTTTAACTGTTCCCCTGGGACTGGCACGGCATATCCCTTCTCTATAGTCATCTTCATCGTTTGTGCGTAGCGGAACCGTAGCAACTCGTCATTAATTAGGCGCCGCTTCAGGCTGCTCAAACTCGAGAGCGATGGTGCATGGCTTTCCATACCGGTATTGACACACTTCTTTCATGGCAGGGGGACCACGAAGTGCCCACCGACGAAGGTTATATAGACTGGACGGGTCTATTACTTCTTCTGCTTTGGTTAGCAAGTTGCCCAAAGCGACTCCTCGCAACTCTAGCCATTGCAGATATGAATTCTGTCAGTTCGCTAAAATTGGCTCCCTGTCGTTTTGAGAAATCCGATCCATGGTCTCCGCTCACTTCTGTTGTAGGGAATACGGCAACTCTTTAACTATTTCTTCCAACTTGCTAAGCGAATTAAGATCAGTCGTGTAACTCATTTGTTCTAGGGCGATCATGCAGCTTTCCATTCGAATAGCTAAAGATGACAATATATCAGCGTCCACGCCATTCACGTTGAGACCCTTCAGTAATCCATCTAAAAGTGGGTGCACTACCTCGTGTGAGCGCCCAAATAAATCTTTGAGAATTGTACATGCCCTATCGTACCCAACCGCGGGTGTCAACATGATGCAATCTTCGATTGCGCTCCTAGCCTTCCCCTTACAGTAATGAAGCAAATATAACAAGCATTGCCAGTCGTCATTAGTCTTGGAGAAAACGTATATTTGAAATTGCCGAATGAACCACCACTACATTTTGGATCGCCCATCGAAAGACAAAAGCTCTACTTTGGGTGGTCTGAATTCGCAGTAATGCGGCCTGACGTGGACGTCGTCGTCTTATATTTCCTCTCTAGCTCACCAACCTCTACTGTCCTCGGAACAAAAGGATCACTCGCCTCCCTAGCATCCCATACTAGATGTTTTTCAACAAACTGCATCAATCGATCTTTTCCGTCCTCACGCACGATAGAATTGATAGACAACTTATCCGCCATTTTCTCTGCAAGCCTTGCAGTTTCCAATTCTTGTCATACTGCTAGCAATTCGCTTTTATACCTTTCTTGGAGTTCTTCCATCTGCTGCTCTATTTTTTCTAACCGATGGCGCTCCTTCATTTTAATTAACGACACCAAGCTTCGACTAATCGCTCAGCTGGCTAGACCAACTAACCCTGGAGCCATGAACAGAAAACCTATGCAAATCGACTTGCCGAGATTCTCTAGTGTTGTCGTCGAATCCCCGCCGTTTGTCATCAACATCCTTGTTCGTCATATTCATTCTCCGAGTGCAAGTAATAAATGCAGCAGAAAAGCGAAAGCGTGTCACACGTGTTGCATAGGTTTGAACAAGACCCAGCTTATTTATATGCCTGAGCAGAAACCGTGCTCAGTAAAGCAAGCAGAAGTAAAACAAAGAAGTATCACAGTTGGAGTCAGAGTTGGCTGTGAAGAAACTATGAACGGAAAACGCCCTCGTGGATTGCTCCTTTTTTCCCTACAATCGTAGTCATTACAAGCTCTCTTATGAGAGGAGGCTGGAGATACTGAATCTCTTCTCATTGGAGAGACAAAAGAGGGGGGGCGACCTCATCGAGGCGGTTAAGTTCCCTAAAGGGGTCACAGATATGGGAGGTGGCTCTCGGGAGCTTCTGAAGCTAAAAGAAACCACCTCACTCCGGGGAAGACACTGAAACTGGCAAGGGATAGATTAAACTCTCTATTGAGGGATTCATTCTTTGCGATTCGAGTGGTAAGTGACTGGAATAAACTGCCAACCGGAGCCATAGCAGCCAATTCAGTGGCTGAATTCAAAGAATGTTTAGATAACATATGAGGTAGCTTATTCATCGGAGGAGAGTAACCGTGTCCAGCACCTGAAGCCCATCTCTCTTCCATTCTCTCCTTCTCCTAATGGCTCTCTTTTCCCGCCACTTCCACTTCCTCTCTTCACCTCTGTAACAAAACCCAGATTGTTCTTCTTAACTTCGTATCTTTCATCATTACGGGCTTTAAATTTCTTGAAGTCTTGAAGTAGTACTCGGGTTCGAGGCTTGCGCCCAATATTCCCGGTTCCGG